CTCATCATTCAGCCAGGGCCTCTGGTCCTGCTGCCTCCATCTCCTCCTCCACAGCTCCAGCCCCAAACTGGGCCAGACCCAGCCCTCATCAGGGGGTCTGAGAGCACCGCCCCTGGTAAGGGGTACATGGCATCCCAAGGAGATAACGCCCAAAATACTCAGGTCCCAAAAGGCCAGCAGCACCTCCAGCCTCCATGTGTTCATCTTGAACACGGTTTTCATCCTGAAGCCTGAAGCTCACACGCTGTTCTCACTCCGGCTCCTTGCTCACAGGCGTAAATTCCTGGAGTGCATTGAGGATAACGTCCAGGTACTAGACAAACCAACCAGAGAAGTGTTACTGGACCTGACGTTCACCAACGCAGACAAACTCATTAAGGAGATGAAGATTGGAGGGTGTCTGGGCTGCAGTGACCAAGCCCTGGTTGAACTGGTGATCTCAAGGAATATGGGCCTGGTGAAGAGCAAAGTCAGGGCTCTTAACTTCCAAAGATCGAAATTCCAGCTATTTAAAGACCTAGTGATCAAGATCCTGGAGCAGTGTCCTTAGGGACAAAGGAGCTGAACAGAGCTGGCAACTCTTTCAGGATGCACCAAAAGCAGCGTGGCCAGCAGGGCGAAGGAGGGGATTGCCCCCTAAGCTCTGCTGTCGTGAGACGCCACCTGGAGCCCCGATTTCTCCCATTTCCTCATTGGCTGAGTACTGTGGGTTCACAACGTACTCAATGCCCTTCTATACCATGCATGTACAATTTTATTTGACCAACTGTTAATTTTTCCTTTTCTTTCCCCCCCTTCTTCTTTCATGAGTAGAGTGCCCGTGATTTTTGTTTTTCCTGATTTCATACTGCTCATCCTGTTTTTCTTAGCTATTCTCCTTATTTTGGGACAGGGGGACTTTCCCCTTACCTGCTTAACACACTCCCCACTGCTGTGCTGCACAACCACTTTTGAATATGCAAGGTTAGTGGGATTTTCCACTGCAAAAACAACTTCTATTGCAGAAACATAACTTTCTTTCTCACAATTCCCTCTTTTCTTTTCTTACTCCTATTGTCATTTTTGCACCTCTTCACACACTTTGGTGTTGCGTATCCTAGCTATGAGGCTGGTCAGAACTGGTAGGGCCAGAAAGTAAGGGCTGCATGGCACCCCAAGGAGATAGAGGCCCAAAATGCTCAGGCCCCAAAAGGCCAGCAGCACCTCCAGCCTCCATATCTTCATCTTGAACACGGTTTTCATCCTGAGCCTGAAGCCCAAACACTGCTCTCACTCTGGCTCCTTGCTCACAGGTGTAACCTAAAACACAGCACCCAGCTCTTAGCAGTGGCCCCGGGAGAGCAGCCCCAACCCTCCCAGCCAAAAGGATGCCTGGGGTCTGGGCTTTAGGCACCCGAAAAACCCAGCGAGCACCCTGCTCCTACCCACCACCGTGCTCCTCCGCACAGCTCCGCTACCGCACTCAGCTGACGCTGACTGTGGCCACCTCAACACACTTTGCCTTCGTCAGCTGCTCGATCAGCTTATTCCTCGCTGACGCGCAGGCAAAGTGACAGCCAAGCCCCCAAACCCCACTTCTATAGGGCCACGTTTGTGGTGCAATGGTGACATCACTTTGACACACAGTGGTTGCCATGGTAGCCCTGGGCAGAGCTGCACTTGGTGTCCCCAAGCAGGGACCTTTGTCAGGGCAGCAGGGACTGAGATGGGGAAGATGCTAAAACTTATCCAAATTAGTCTTTAGCTACACATATGGTAAAATATCCTAATTATCGGGGATGTGGATGGGAACTTCAAAATATCCTAACTATAGGGATGTAGATGAGAACCTTATGAGAAGCAGGTGTAAAAAGAAGATATTGCTCAAGGCCAACGGCTGAGGGAAGAATGAACATCTCGTTAGGAAAGAAGGAACAACTCGTTGGCAGGAAAAAAGGCAAAGGTAAACAAAAAACTTCTAAATACTGTCCAACAGCAGGTCAAAGTCTGCTTTCTACAGAAAAATCCCTCTTGTGTGTGTCCCCAAGCAGAGGATCACCGCATTCCTCACAGCATGTTTCACTAGCAGACAGGGGACACCTTATTCAGTGCTCTGTGCGAATCTTGATCATCAGTCTCAGCAGTTTTGTTCATTTTGCCCAGCAGGTCCAGGCAGATTTTTGTGGTACCCAGGGACTCCATCAGGCATCAGGAGATCTTTACATCTTTGGGATGGAGGGCCAGATCCTGGTGAATTTGAAAAAAAAATCCTGCCAGGATCAGTTGTGGGAACTGGGGTTATTTAGCCTCCAGAAAAAGAGAGCTTGGTACCCTCCAGCAGTGGAGCTAAGTCACAGAACCTGTTCCTCCCCCAGGCATCAGGCACATCCCATGAGGGCACACTACACCACCTCTCACCCCTTGTGCCCTTTTCCACATGCTCTCCGAAACACGCAAGAGCTTTTGGCTCCCAGGTTTGTAAGCAGGACCTGTATACATCAGCAAAGGAGCTGCCACTCTGCCCTGGTATTTCTGCAGCTCTTGCAGGGAAGAAGCTTTGCCCTGAGCAGGAATGAAGGGAGGCAGGGAGCAGTGGCAGCAACAATCAGTTTCTCTTGGAGAGCTGTGCTTTGCCGGAGTTTCATACTCTTGGTGCTTCCCCACCTGGCCTCACTCACCCAGGGCCTCCATCCCTGCTTCTGCCACCCCCTCCTCCACAAGCTCCAGCCCCCAACTGTGCCCGGCCCTTCTTCTTGGGCAGCCTGGCCAAGAGCTGAGAGGAGCACCCCCGGCAGCCATTTGGGGACAATGAGGGCTGCCCGGGGGCCATTCTGTGGTGAGGAATGGCCACCCTGGCAGCCATTTTGTGAGGTGCCATGGCTGCCCTGGTGGCCTTTGCCATTGCCCATTTTTTCCCTCACTCCTCAATACCTGTCCTCCCTTGCCCTGCTGGCAGCACTTTGCCCAGTGCAGCCCACAAGAGCAGCAGCCCTCTTTGTGGCGAGGGCCCTTTGCTGGCTCCTGTTCAGCTCGGTTCCCACCAGGACCCCAGGCCCTTCTCTGCCGGCTGCCCCCAGCAGGAGGTGGTGCCGGGCTTGCTCCACCCCAGGGGCAGGACCCTGCGCTTCTTAAGGAACTTCTTGAGGCTCCTCTCAGCCCTTTCCTCCGGCCTGTCTGTCTGAGCTGGCTGTGAGCCCCAGGGGTGTCCAGCCAGCACCCTCACTAACCCAGGGCCTCTGGTCCTGCTGCCTCCACCACCTCCTCCACAGCTCCAGCCCCAAACTGGGCTGGACCCAGCCCTCATCAGGGGAGAATGAGCCAGGGCTGCCACTGCCAAGGACGCAAGGACCTGGGAAGGGTAATGGGGTCACAGGGACAGGGCCCAGCCCAGTGCTGGGTGGAGGTGACTTTGAGGCTGTGGAGAAGGGCCCTTGCTGCCTGAGCAATGGCCTTCCTTCACTATTGCCTCCTAAATAGACCCTCTGCAGAGTGCCCCAGGCATGGTCCCAGCTCTCGGCTCATCCCTGCTGTGCCCGGGGAGAGTTTGGGGTGATACCAAACCTGGCTCCTACCTTGGCCTTGGTGTTGCGTATCCTAGCTATGAGGCTGGTCAGAACTGGTAGGGCCAGAAAGTAAGGGGTACATGGCATCCCAAGGAGATAGAGGCCCAAAACGCTCAGGCCCCAAAAGGCCAGCAGCACCTCCAGCCTCCATATCTTCATCTTGAACACGGTTTTCATCCTGAGCCTGAAGCCCAAACACTGCTCTCACTCTGGCTCCTTGCTCACAGGTGTAACCTAAAACACAGCATCCCAGCTCTCTGCAGAGCTAGCGACTGTGGAGTGTGTCCCTGCTGCTCCTTCCAGATCGGTCTCTTCAGATGTCCCTTCTGCAGGCTCAATCCCTCTTCCTGCCCCTCTGTCACCAGGCCATGCCAGCTGCTGCCCCTCTGGGGCCAGGCCAGGCCAGCCCCTCTCTTCTCCCCTCTCTTCAGCTCCTGCCAACAGGCCCCTGCCCCCTGCAGCCATTCCCATCATTCAGCCAGGGCCTCTGGTCCTGCTGCCTCCATCTCCTCCTCCACAGCTCCAGCCCCAAACTGGGCCAGACCAAGCCCTCATCAGGGGGTCTGAGAGCACCGCCCCTGGCGGCCATTTGGGCAAAACCGAGGCCAGCTCCTGCAGCCATTTTGTGGGGTAGAGGAGCCACCCTGGCGGGCATTTTATGGGTGCCTTGGTGGCCATCTTGTCCTGGCTGAGGGGAGGACAGGCAGCATGGCTGCAGCTGGAAGGGGGCTCTGCTGTGGGTGCTGCCGTGGCTACTCCTCCTCTGGGGCTGAGCTCTCTTCTGCCTGACCCGGGGCTTTCCCTCGGCACTGGGCAGTGCCCAGAGTGCAGACAGGGTGCACAGCTTGGGGCTGGGCCTCTTCCTGCCCTAGGAGGAAAGGGCTGGCCTGGTCCTGGGGCTGGGGATAGAGAGGGGTGCTAGGAATGGGGCCAGCCAGTGCGCTGTGTGGCAAGGGCTACAGTGGTACTCAGCGGACTGAGGGGAGATGTCCTTCTGGCCTTCAGCTTCCTCATGGCAGGCAGCGGAGGGGCAGGCACTGATGTTTTCTGTCTGGTGAGCAGTGATAGGCCCCATGGGAAAAGCATGAAGCTGCATCAGGGGAGATTCAGGTTCGCTATTACGAGAGGGTTCTTCACCAAGAGGGTGGCTCGGCATTGAAACAGGCTCCCCAGGAAAGTGGCCATGGGCCCAAACCTGCCAGAGTTCAAGAAGCGTTTAGACAACGCTTGCAGAAATACGGTTTGATTGGGGGCGGGGGGCACCTCCATATCATGCCAGGATCATGAAGAAACTGTTGGGGTAGAAATATGACTGAGAATGAGCCAGGGCTGCCACTGTGGGGACCCAGGCGGCAGTGGCATCTCATAGCCAGAGGCCGCTGCAGAGCCTGGCACAGCTCTGGGATGGGGCTGCTCACCTTTCCGTGCCTTCCTCCTGCTCTTCCAGCTCAGTCAGCTTCCCGGCTAGCTCAGTCGGTAGAGCGTTAGACTCTTAATCTCAAGGTTGTGGGTTCGTGCCCCACGTTGGGCACCATTCCACCCCTCGCCTCTGTTAAAAGCATATTTAAGATTACTCACAATATACGCTTACTTTACAAGTAAGCAATATACAATATACTCTTACTTTACAAGTAAGCTGCTCAGAACAGGTAGGGCCAGAAAGTAAGGGGTGCATGGCACCCCAAGGAGATAAGAGGCCCACAGTGCTCAGGTCCCAAAAGGCCAGCAGCACCTCCAGCCTCCATATCTTCATCTTGAACACGGTTTTCATCCTGAGCCTGAAGCCCAAACACTGCTCTCACTCTGGCTCCTTGCTCACAGGTGTAACCTTAAACACAGCATCCCAGCTCTCTGCAGAGCTAGCGACTGTGGAGTGTGTCCCTGCTGCTCCTTCCAGATCGGTCTCTTCAGATGTCCCTTCTGCAGGCTCAATCCCTCTTCCTGCCCCTCTGTCACCAGGCCATGCCAGCTGCTGCCCCTCTGGGGCCAGGCCATGCCAGCCCCTCTCTTCTCCCCTCTCCTCAGCTCCTGCCAACAGGCCCCTGCCCCCTGCAGCCATTCCCATCATTCAGCCAGGGCCTCTGGTCCTGCTGCCTCCATCTCCTCCTCCACAGCTCCAGCCCCAAACTGGGCCAGACCAAGCCCTCATCAGGGGGTCTGAGAGCACCGCCCCCGGTAAGGGGTACATGGCATCCCAAGGAGATAAGGCCCAAAATGCTCAGGCCCCAAAAGGCCAGCAGCACCTCCAGCCTCCATATCTTCATCTTGAACACGGTTTTCATCCTGAGCCTGAAGCCCAAACACTGCTCTCACTCTGGCTCCTTGCTCACAGGTGTAACCTAAAACACAGCACCCAGCTCTTAGCAGTGGCCCCGGGAGAGCAGCCCCAACCCTCCCAGCCAAAAGGATGCCTGGGGTCTGGGCTTTAGGCACCTGAAAAACCCAGCGAGCACCCTGCTCCTACCCACCACTGTGCTCCTCCGCACAGCTCCGCTACCGCACTCAGCTGACGCTGACTGTGGCCACCTCAACACACTTTGCCTTCGTCAGCTGCTCGATCAGCTTATTCCTCGCTGACGCGCAGGCAAAATGACAGCCAAGCCCCCAAACCCCACTTCTATAGGGCCGCGTCTGTGGTGCAATGGTGACATCACTTTGACACGCAGTGGTTGCCATGGTAGCCCTGGGCAGAGCTGCACTTGGTGTCCCCAAGCAGGGACCTTTGTCAGGGCAGCAGGGACTGAGATGGGGAAGATGCTAAAACTTATCCAAATTAGTCTTTAGCTACACATGTGGTAAAATATCCTAATTATCGGGGATGTGGATGGGAACTTCAAAATATCCTAACTATAGGGATGTAGATGAGAACCTTATGAGAAGCAGGTGTAAAAAGAAGATATAGCTCAAGGCCAACGGCTGAGGGAAGAATGAACATCTCATTAGGAAAGAAGGAACAACTCGTTGGCAGGAAAAAAGGCAAAGGTAAACAAAAAACTTCTAAATACTGTCCAACAGCAGGTCAAAGTCTGCTTTCTACAGAAAAATCCCTCGTGTGTGTCCCCAAGCAGAGGATCACCGCATTCCTCACAGCATGTTTCACTAGCAGACAGGGGACACCTTAGTCAGTGCTCTGTGCAAATCTTGAGCATCAGTCTCAGCAGTTTTGTTCATTTTGCCCTGCAGATCCAGGCAGATTTTTGTGGTACCCAGGGACTCCATCAGGGATCTGGAGATCTTTACATCTTTGAGATGAAGGGCCAGATCCTGGTGAATTTGAAAAAAAAATCCTGCCAGGATCAGTTGTGGGAACTGGGGTTATTTAGCCTTCAGAAAAGGGGGATGAGGAGAGAAAGTGGGGCCAGATGGGGACACCAGAGAGCTTGGTACCCTCCAGCATTGGAGCTAAGTCAGAGAACTCGTTGCTCCTCCAGGCATCATCAGGCACATCCCGTGAGGGCACACTATACCACCTCTTGCTCCACCCCAGGGGCAGGACGCTGCGCTTCTTAAGGAACTTCTTGAGGCTCCTCTCAGCCCTTTCCTCCGGCCTGTCTGTCTGAGCTGGCTGTGAGCCCCAGGGGTGTCCAGCCAGCACCCTCACTAACCCAGGGCCTCTGGCCCTGCTACCTCCACCACCTCCTCCACAGCTCCAGCCCCAAACTGGGCTGGACCCAGCCCTCATCAGGGGAGAATGAGCCAGGGCTGCCACTGTGGGGACCCAGGCGGCAGTGGCATCTCATGGCCAGAGGCTGCTGCAGAGCCTGGCACAGCTCTGGGATGGGACTGCTCACCTTTCCGTGCTTTCCCCCTGCTCTTCCAGCTCACTTTCTTCCCAGAAGAGCCCTACACCAGAAAGCAAGCCTGGCTCAGTGGGGAGTGTCCCCTCGTGGCCAGGATGGCCCCTGCTCAGGAGGCAAGGACCTGGGAAGGGTAATGGGGTCAGAGGGACAGGGCCCAGCCCAGTGCTGGGTGGAGGTGACTTTGAGGCTGTGGAGAAGGGCCCTTGCTGCCAGAGCAATGGTCTCCCTTCACTACTGCCTCCCAAATAGACCCTCTGCAGAGTGCCCCAGGCATGGGCCCAGCTCTCGGCTCATCCCTGCTGTGCCCGGGGAGAGTTTGGGGTGATACCAAACCTGGCTCCTACCTTGGTCTTGGTGTTGCGTATCCTAGCTATGAGGCTGGTCAGAACTGGTAGGGCCAGAAAGTAAGGGGTGCATGGCACCCCAAGGAGATAAGAGGCCCAAAATGCTCAGGCCCCAAAAGGCCAGCAGCACCTCCAGCCTCCATATCTTCATCTTGAACACGGTTTTCATCCTGAGCCTGAAGCCCAAACACTGCTCTCACTCTGGCTCCTTGCTCACAGGTGTAACCTTAAACACAGCATCCCAGCTCTCTGCAGAGCTAGCGACTGTGGAGTGTGTCCCTGCTGCTCCTTCCAGATCGGTCTCTTCAGATGTCCCTTCTGCAGGCTCAATCCCTCTTCCTGCCCCTCTGTCACCAGGCCATGCCAGCTGCTGCCCCTCTGGGGCCAGGCCAGGCCAGGCCATGCCAGCCCCTCTCTTGTCCCCTCTCTTCAGCTCCTGCCAACGGGCCCCTGCCCCCTGCAGCCATTCTCATCATTCAGCCAGGGCCTCTGGTCCTGCTGCCTCCATCTCCTCCTCCACAGCTCCAGCCCCAAACTGGGCCAGACCCAGCCCTCATCAGGGGGTCTGAGAGCACCGCCCCTGGTAAGGGGTACATGGCATCCCAAGGAGATAACGCCCAAAATACTCAGGTCCCAAAAGGCCAGCAGCACCTCCAGCCTCCATGTGTTCATCTTGAACACGGTTTTCATCCTGAAGCCTGAAGCTCACACGCTGTTCTCACTCCGGCTCCTTGCTCACAGGCGTAAATTCCTGGAGTGCATTGAGGATAACGTCCAGGTACTAGACAAACCAACCAGAGAAGTGTTACTGGACCTGACGTTCACCAACGCAGACAAACTCATTAAGGAGATGAAGATTGGAGGGTGTCTGGGCTGCAGTGACCAAGCCCTGCTTGAACTGGTGATCTCAAGGAATATGGGCCTGGTGAAGAGCAAAGTCAGGGCTCTTAACTTCCAAAGATCGAAATTCCAGCTATTTAAAGACCTAGTGATCAAGATCCTGGAGCAGTGTCCTTAGGGACAAAGGAGCTGAACAGAGCTGGCAACTCTTTCAGGATGCACCAAAAGCAGCGTGGCCAGCAGGGCGAAGGAGGGGATTGCCCCCTAAGCTCTGCTGTCGTGAGACGCCACCTGGAGCCCCGATTTCTCCCATTTCCTCATTGGCTGAGTACTGTGGGTTCACAACGTACTCAATGCCCTTCTATACCATGCATGTACAATTTTATTTGACCAACTGTTAATTTTTCCTTTTCTTTCCCCCCCTTCTTCTTTCATGAGTAGAGTGCCCGTGATTTTTGTTTTTCCTGATTTCATACTGCTCATCCTGTTTTTCTTAGCTATTCTCCTTATTTTGGGACAGGGGGACTTTCCCCTTACCTGCTTAACACACTCCCCACTGCTGTGCTGCACAACCACTTTTGAATATGCAAGGTTAGTGGGATTTTCCACTGCAAAAACAACTTCTATTGCAGAAACATAACTTTCTTTCTCACAATTCCCTCTTTTCTTTTCTTACTCCTATTGTCATTTTTGCACCTCTTCACACACTTTGGTGTTGCGTATCCTAGCTATGAGGCTGGTCAGAACTGGTAGGGCCAGAAAGTAAGGGCTGCATGGCACCCCAAGGAGATAGAGGCCCAAAATGCTCAGGCCCCAAAAGGCCAGCAGCACCTCCAGCCTCCATATCTTCATCTTGAACACGGTTTTCATCCTGAGCCTGAAGCCCAAACACTGCTCTCACTCTGGCTCCTTGCTCACAGGTGTAACCTAAAACACAGCACCCAGCTCTTAGCAGTGGCCCCGGGAGAGCAGCCCCAACCCTCCCAGCCAAAAGGATGCCTGGGGTCTGGGCTTTAGGCACCCGAAAAACCCAGCGAGCACCCTGCTCCTACCCACCACCGTGCTCCTTCGCACAGCTCCGCTACCGCACTCAGCTGACGCTGACTGTGGCCACCTCAACACACTTTGCCTTCGTCAGCTGCTCGATCAGCTTATTCCTCGCTGACGCGCAGGCAAAGTGACAGCCAAGCCCCCAAACCCCACTTCTATAGGGCCACGTTTGTGGTGCAATGGTGACATCACTTTGACACACAGTGGTTGCCATGGTAGCCCTGGGCAGAGCTGCACTTGGTGTCCCCAAGCAGGGACCTTTGTCAGGGCAGCAGGGACTGAGATGGGGAAGATGCTAAAACTTATCCAAATTAGTCTTTAGCTACACATATGGTAAAATATCCTAATTATCGGGGATGTGGATGGGAACTTCAAAATATCCTAACTATAGGGATGTAGATGAGAACCTTATGAGAAGCAGGTGTAAAAAGAAGATATTGCTCAAGGCCAACGGCTGAGGGAAGAATGAACATCTCGTTAGGAAAGAAGGAACAACT